ACTTGGCTATTAGTCTTTATCCATTTTTGAAAATTGTATTGTAAATTGTAAGAATTTCTGAATACTACTACTATAAAATATAATTGCTTATCTATGTATATTCTCCCTGCATGATATCAAGACTTGGCTATTAGTCTTTATCCATTTTTGAAAATTGTATTGTAAATTGTAAGAATTTCTGAATACTACTACTATAAAATATAATTGCTTATCTATGTATATTCTCCCTGCATGATATCAAGACTTGGCTATTAGTCTTTATCCATTTTTGAAAATTGTATTGTAAATTGTAAGAATTTCTGAATACTACTACTATAAAATATAATTGCTTATCTATGTATATTCTCCCTGCATGATATCAAGACTTGGCTATTAGTCTTTATCCATTTTTGAAAATTGTATTGTAAATTGTAAGAATTTCTGAATACTACTACTATAAAATATAATTGCTTATCTATGTATATTCTCCCTGCATGATATCAAGACTTGGCTATTAGTCTTTATCCATTTTTGAAAATTGTATTGTAAATTGTAAGAATTTCTGAATACTACTACTATAAAATATAATTGCTTATCTATGTATATTCTCCCTGCATGATATCAAGACTTGGCTATTAGTCTTTATCCATTTTTGAAAATTGTATTGTAAATTGTAAGAATTTCTGAATACTACTACTATAAAATATAATTGCTTATCTATGTATATTCTCCCTGCATGATATCAAGACTTGGCTATTAGTCTTTATCCATTTTTGAAAATTGTATTGTAAATTGTAAGAATTTCTGAATACTACTACTATAAAATATAATTGCTTATCTATGTATATTCTCCCTGCATGATATCAAGACTTGGCTATTAGTCTTTATCCATTTTTGAAAATTGTATTGTAAATTGTAAGAATTTCTGAATACTACTACTATAAAATATAATTGCTTATCTATGTATATTCTCCCTGCATGATATCAAGACTTGGCTATTAGTCTTTATCCATTTTTGAAAATTGTATTGTAAATTGTAAGAATTTCTGAATACTACTACTATAAAATATAATTGCTTATCTATGTATATTCTCCCTGCATGATATCAAGACTTGGCTATTAGTCTTTATCCATTTTTGAAAATTGTATTGTAAATTGTAAGAATTTCTGAATACTACTACTATAAAATATAATTGCTTATCTATGTATATTCTCCCTGCATGATATCAAGACTTGGCTATTAGTCTTTATCCATTTTTGAAAATTGTATTGTAAATTGTAAGAATTTCTGAATACTACTACTATAAAATATAATTGCTTATCTATGTATATTCTCCCTGCATGATATCAAGACTTGGCTATTAGTCTTTATCCATTTTTGAAAATTGTATTGTAAATTGTAAGAATTTCTGAATACTACTACTATAAAATATAATTGCTTATCTATGTATATTCTCCCTGCATGATATCAAGACTTGGCTATTAGTCTTTATCCATTTTTGAAAATTGTATTGTAAATTGTAAGAATTTCTGAATACTACTACTATAAAATATAATTGCTTATCTATGTATATTCTCCCTGCATGATATCAAGACTTGGCTATTAGTCTTTATCCATTTTTGAAAATTGTATTGTAAATTGTAAGAATTTCTGAATACTACTACTATAAAATATAATTGCTTATCTATGTATATTCTCCCTGCATGATATCAAGACTTGGCTATTAGTCTTTATCCATTTTTGAAAATTGTATTGTAAATTGTAAGAATTTCTGAATACTACTACTATAAAATATAATTGCTTATCTATGTATATTCTCCCTGCATGATATCAAGACTTGGCTATTAGTCTTTATCCATTTTTGAAAATTGTATTGTAAATTGTAAGAATTTCTGAATACTACTACTATAAAATATAATTGCTTATCTATGTATATTCTCCCTGCATGATATCAAGACTTGGCTATTAGTCTTTATCCATTTTTGAAAATTGTATTGTAAATTGTAAGAATTTCTGAATACTACTACTATAAAATATAATTGCTTATCTATGTATATTCTCCCTGCATGATATCAAGACTTGGCTATTAGTCTTTATCCATTTTTGAAAATTGTATTGTAAATTGTAAGAATTTCTGAATACTACTACTATAAAATATAATTGCTTATCTATGTATATTCTCCCTGCATGATATCAAGACTTGGCTATTAGTCTTTATCCATTTTTGAAAATTGTATTGTAAATTGTAAGAATTTCTGAATACTACTACTATAAAATATAATTGCTTATCTATGTATATTCTCCCTGCATGATATCAAGACTTGGCTATTAGTCTTTATCCATTTTTGAAAATTGTATTGTAAATTGTAAGAATTTCTGAATACTACTACTATAAAATATAATTGCTTATCTATGTATATTCTCCCTGCATGATATCAAGACTTGGCTATTAGTCTTTATCCATTTTTGAAAATTGTATTGTAAATTGTAAGAATTTCTGAATACTACTACTATAAAATATAATTGCTTATCTATGTATATTCTCCCTGCATGATATCAAGACTTGGCTATTAGTCTTTATCCATTTTTGAAAATTGTATTGTAAATTGTAAGAATTTCTGAATACTACTACTATAAAATATAATTGCTTATCTATGTATATTCTCCCTGCATGATATCAAGACTTGGCTATTAGTCTTTATCCATTTTTGAAAATTGTATTGTAAATTGTAAGAATTTCTGAATACTACTACTATAAAATATAATTGCTTATCTATGTATATTCTCCCTGCATGATATCAAGACTTGGCTATTAGTCTTTATCCATTTTTGAAAATTGTATTGTAAATTGTAAGAATTTCTGAATACTACTACTATAAAATATAATTGCTTATCTATGTATATTCTCCCTGCATGATATCAAGACTTGGCTATTAGTCTTTATCCATTTTTGAAAATTGTATTGTAAATTGTAAGAATTTCTGAATACTACTACTATAAAATATAATTGCTTATCTATGTATATTCTCCCTGCATGATATCAAGACTTGGCTATTAGTCTTTATCCATTTTTGAAAATTGTATTGTAAATTGTAAGAATTTCTGAATACTACTACTATAAAATATAATTGCTTATCTATGTATATTCTCCCTGCATGATATCAAGACTTGGCTATTAGTCTTTATCCATTTTTGAAAATTGTATTGTAAATTGTAAGAATTTCTGAATACTACTACTATAAAATATAATTGCTTATCTATGTATATTCTCCCTGCATGATATCAAGACTTGGCTATTAGTCTTTATCCATTTTTGAAAATTGTATTGTAAATTGTAAGAATTTCTGAATACTACTACTATAAAATATAATTGCTTATCTATGTATATTCTCCCTGCATGATATCAAGACTTGGCTATTAGTCTTTATCCATTTTTGAAAATTGTATTGTAAATTGTAAGAATTTCTGAATACTACTACTATAAAATATAATTGCTTATCTATGTATATTCTCCCTGCATGATATCAAGACTTGGCTATTAGTCTTTATCCATTTTTGAAAATTGTATTGTAAATTGTAAGAATTTCTGAATACTACTACTATAAAATATAATTGCTTATCTATGTATATTCTCCCTGCATGATATCAAGACTTGGCTATTAGTCTTTATCCATTTTTGAAAATTGTATTGTAAATTGTAAGAATTTCTGAATACTACTACTATAAAATATAATTGCTTATCTATGTATATTCTCCCTGCATGATATCAAGACTTGGCTATTAGTCTTTATCCATTTTTGAAAATTGTATTGTAAATTGTAAGAATTTCTGAATACTACTACTATAAAATATAATTGCTTATCTATGTATATTCTCCCTGCATGATATCAAGACTTGGCTATTAGTCTTTATCCATTTTTGAAAATTGTATTGTAAATTGTAAGAATTTCTGAATACTACTACTATAAAATATAATTGCTTATCTATGTATATTCTCCCTGCATGATATCAAGACTTGGCTATTAGTCTTTATCCATTTTTGAAAATTGTATTGTAAATTGTAAGAATTTCTGAATACTACTACTATAAAATATAATTGCTTATCTATGTATATTCTCCCTGCATGATATCAAGACTTGGCTATTAGTCTTTATCCATTTTTGAAAATTGTATTGTAAATTGTAAGAATTTCTGAATACTACTACTATAAAATATAATTGCTTATCTATGTATATTCTCCCTGCATGATATCAAGACTTGGCTATTAGTCTTTATCCATTTTTGAAAATTGTATTGTAAATTGTAAGAATTTCTGAATACTACTACTATAAAATATAATTGCTTATCTATGTATATTCTCCCTGCATGATATCAAGACTTGGCTATTAGTCTTTATCCATTTTTGAAAATTGTATTGTAAATTGTAAGAATTTCTGAATACTACTACTATAAAATATAATTGCTTATCTATGTATATTCTCCCTGCATGATATCAAGACTTGGCTATTAGTCTTTATCCATTTTTGAAAATTGTATTGTAAATTGTAAGAATTTCTGAATACTACTACTATAAAATATAATTGCTTATCTATGTATATTCTCCCTGCATGATATCAAGACTTGGCTATTAGTCTTTATCCATTTTTGAAAATTGTATTGTAAATTGTAAGAATTTCTGAATACTACTACTATAAAATATAATTGCTTATCTATGTATATTCTCCCTGCATGATATCAAGACTTGGCTATAAGTCTCTATTCATTATGAGTATGACCCCATTTTTTTTTACAAAAAGTGCCGAATTGCAACTTTGTCCCAATCTCGAAATTATTTAAGATTGATGGGAAAATATCGATTATTTTGCTAAAACTTTTTTCATACTTGAGTATTCAAGAATTAAATGATCTAAATTGCCAATCAAATTTCAATTTTAAATTCAAAAGATATCACAATGCGGTCATAAGTTTAAAAAATACAACATTATTTATAAATATATTTTACATAACATACACAAACAATTTAAGAATTTAATGTATTGATCAATTCTGCACGAATAGTTTCGTACTGTTTCTGGAGTGTGGTGAAGTTCTTCTGTTCCAATGCAATATCGACAGCTCTCATGCCTGTTTCGTCTGCCGAACGCAAATCTCTTTCCACCGTTCTGAGTCTTTCCGCCATAGATCTGAGCATCTGTTGGACTTCTGTCTTTGTATACTCTGTTCTTGCTGCCAACTTCGACATAGTAACATCTTTTTGTTTCTTTTTGACAATAGTTTTCTGAGTTTTCTCTGATGAAAGTAAATTTGGAGGTTCAACAACAGTAGTTTCTTCTCTAACTTGAATTGTAGTAGCAGAAGGCTTTGATGCACTCTCCCTGGGCTTAATTCTAACATCAGGATGAGAAATAATGAACTCTAACTTCCGAAATGCGGCCATGAAATCTTGTCTTCGTTTATTATTAAGAGGAAGTCGCTCAGAAGCATCAACAACAGGAACTTCACTCCATATAGAATTAATTTTCTGCTCAACTTCTATTTCTTCCTCTTCTTCTTCAATTGGCATAACTAATTGAGTAACTTCTGTCTTTTCTTCTTCATTTGAACCAGTAGCATTTGTAGCTGTAAGGAAGAATGAAGAATTATCCTCTGGCGCCTTCTTTTCTGCCTTTGGAGTGAAATGTTCGACTAATTCGTCCTTTTCTTCCTCTTCTGGTGCTCTTTCTTTAGGTTTCTGAGTAATTCTATCAATCTTCTTTGAGTTCTTATTAAGTGCTCTAAGATGACCTTTTGTAAATGAAGGAAGTGTCAAAGGATCGAAATTTACTGTTCGAACATTGACTGGAAGAGCTCTTTTCTGGACTCTATTAGGCTTTTCTTCTGTTATTATCAGTATTTTGGTCTTCTCGAATATATCATCTACTGCTTTCATCATTTTTGAACGTAATACAATTGGATTATTTGTAATATTCACTTTTTCGAGGGCAGGAAAGTCAACAAGTGATGAAACATCATCAACATACTCTAAAAGATTTCTTTTAACTGATAGTTCCTTAAGACTTTCGAAGCCAAATTGAGGCTTTGGAATTGATTTGATTTGATTATCGTCAAGAATAAGAATTTGTAAGGAGCTTATAGTTCCTAATGCGTAAAAGCTTTGATCTGAGTTAACTAAATTGCCGCATAAGTTTAATTTAGTTAAACATGTAAAATGCATTAAATTTGATGGTAATTCTAATATTGAATTGTTAGAAAGATTGAGATTTGCTAGATGAGGAATGAATTGAAGTTCATTTATGAAAGAAGATGCATAATTGAAACTCAAATTCAAATTTTGTAGCAAATCCCAACCTCGATTTTTGTCACAGTATGATTCTGATGACTTATAATCAAAGTTCTTGATAGAGTTGCAACTCAGATCAAGATCTTTTAGCGTAGAAATAACAGAAAATGGTTCAAGTGGCAGTTTGTTATCACTGAAATCTGCTTTTTCTAGAGAAGCAAGTTCTTTTAATGATTCTATGTCAACTTCTGTCAGTTTTTTGCCTGATGCTTCGATAAATTGAATACTTGAAAGATCTGTTGAATTTAATAGTTCTAAGAGGTAAATTGAATCGAGTATATTTGCGGTTTTTCTTTTTACTGATATTCTTCTAGGTGTTCTTGCATTATTTGGTGCTGTTGATGGTTTAATATTATTTTTTGTTTTCGGCCTAATGTTTATTCCTAGACTAACATCTGGTTTATGTCCAGTGGGTCTTGCAATAGGGCCCTGACGTTGATATTCAAACGGAGGTCGGGTCCTATTGCGAATCATTATTATGTTATAAACGTATAAAAAATTTCAGGGGGAATCATTTTCATGTAAATTTTGATCTTTGGAAACCCAAAACATGCTCAGAGTATAAACGTAAGGTTGTGTGATGAGTTATGAGGAATTTGGCTATAGAAATTTGGAGAAAAAGTTAATTTTGAAAACATTTTGATGTATTGTCAAATATATCATAATATGTACTGAATAAATAGGGTGTTAGAGGTAAACATAGACCAATTAACCAAATTAATCCTTTCATTTTTCAAAATTCACAATGCAAATTGAAATTACATATAAAAACAAGAACTGAATAATTGCACATAACAAACAATATATTTTCGTTAATTTCAGTCTATTTTAAATAGAAATTACAATAAAATATTACTTTTGATAGATGCCCTGCAATAAATGGCATGGTTTCTTTATTTTATTTTGTTTTGCAATGAAGCATGCAATACGATCGATTATTCGATTACGTTTTGATGATAATATCTGCATGATGCTCTTGATTTTCCTTCAGCACATCGTTTATATTTCAATCACTTAAATTGGAAAATCAATGTTTCATTATAATGAACTGCCTTATTTTCTCAATTAAATCTGCTAGAGTATACTTCATTTTATCTAATTACCTAATCTATATTTGCATTATTTTCCAAAATTTTCCCCACACAATTCAATTCTAAATTTGACAAATCTGCCAGTTATCCGAAATAAGCATATTAATTAAGAATAGGATAATATTTAATGTGATCCTGTTTTATTTTTCAATTGTGGAATTTTTTGCCACATTACAACTATGGTTTCATATATTTCATATTGAAATAATCACCAATAATGACTCATCTATCAACACATCTTTCAAAGATATTGATGCAAGTTGCTATTCAAAAGAGGGACTGGAACTTACTAAAGTCAAAGATACATATCCCTATCTTAGAATATCAGCAAAGTGTGAAACAATAGGATATAAATGCTTTGATGAGCTTGTATCTTTAAAATCATTTTCATTTGAAGAAAATCCTAACTTAACTACAATAGGAATAAATAGTTTTCATTATTGTATAAATCTTACTAAAATTGATTTGTCATCTTGCAGAAAACTAACAACAATTTCCATTGGTGCCTTTTATGCATGTTACAATGTTCAAGAAATCCTCTTACCAAAAGGGCTTATTAACATTCAAAGTAGTGCTTTTTATTCGAATAAAATGATAACTAACATTACAATACCAGCTTCTGTTGAAAAAATCAATGATAGGGCATTTTATACTTGTTCAAAATTACAACATGTTGTTTTTGAAGAAGGATCAAAATTAACATCATTAGAAAGTCGTGTATTTGCCTCCACCAATATTATATTTTTTCAAATACCAGAAAATGTTTCAAAATTGAGTGGATTTGCCTTAGATAGAAAAACAATAAATTTAACTACTCATCCTAAAAATATATATTTAATATTTGACAATGGAGACGTTTATTCAGCAAATAGAAGTATTTTGTTTTTAGTATTTAATAAAACTCTCAATAATTTTGAAATTCCAAATTCTGTTCTAATACTTGGAGAATATTGCTTTTATGATTCAGATATGACAACAATTACTCTGCCAAATTCGATCGAAATTATTGAAAATAATTGCTTTTATAATTCTAAATTAATAACTATTACAATACCGAAAAGTGTGAAAATTATCGAAAATGAAGCTTTCATTTGGTGTGCAAATTTAGTAAATGTCACACTTTTAGGTCCTTTAGATTCTATTGGAAAGGAAGCATTTTTCTATTGCAAAAATCTTGAATTTATTATTTTCCCTAACTCACCAATGATTGTGAACAATGGTGTATTTATTTTTAAATCTCCAAAATTACAGCTATCATTCACTCACAAAACTCTCTTTTCTTATTCACCAATTGAAACAATAGCAAATGTTTCAGTTTCATATCTTAATGCATCAAATCTCATTATTACAGAAGATTTATTTATTATGGATTCAGAACAAACAGAAATATATGAATATTGGAGATACAGATATTATACTATTACAATTCCCAAATCAGTGATAAAAATCAGGGAAAAAGCATTTGACAATTCAACTATTTTAGGATTGAAATATGAAGAAAACTCAACATTAACTTATATTGGTAATTACGCTTTTAGAGATTGTTCTTCTTTAAAGAAAATTGAGATTCCATCATCTATTATAATGATTTCAGATTATGCATTCATTAATTGCACCAAATTGGAAATCATCAAATTCTCAAAATCAAACAAATTAGAGAATTTTTCTATCCTATCTATATCAAATTGCGTATCTCTTAAAAATATCAGTGATTTTTCATCATCTAAATACTCTTGTGAATATAATACTATTTACTACAAAAATGATTCAAAAATACACCTTATTCATCATGTGAGTAAATCAATTGATAAAGTTTTAGTTATTAACTGTAATGTAATCTGTAGTTATTCATTCAACATCAGCCTTAATATAGAAAACATAAGCATTTCTTCAAACAGTGTTACATTAATTAAAAAATGTTCATTTATCAAATGTGCAAATCTGAAATACATTAATTTCCCTCTATCAGTTGAAACTGTGGAAGAATTTGCCTTCTACGAATGCAAATCTATTCAATGCCCTCTCATTATTGGGAATAAATCAATTGACTACATTGGCATGATTGCAAATTCAGGGATTGATAAAAATCTTATTAAGTCATGTAATGCGATTCGTTCTTCACCTGCAAATCCTCGAATAAGGATTTATAAATTATCCCATTTCAGAAGACGATGAATACAATAATGTATTTGTATATAAAATAAACATTAATTATGATATTTTTTTTATTTGCTGAGTCAAATTTGCAAATCTGAGATGATCAAATTAGTAGTAGAATAGGATGGGTTGTGTGACTTTTTTTGTAAACGTAAGAATTCATACAATATCGAGCGATTTTGTATCATTTTTTTAACATTAATTTTAAAATATATTTATTTTTTTATTCTTACATAAATGACCCAACAAGTAAAACCAGATAAAATAGATTATCGAATTTTAGAGGATGGTGTTCCTGTTTATATTCAAAGATTTAAAGGGAAGCAATATTATAGAATTGTTAATCCTGAATATCTTAAACATATATTTAAAAAGGAAGACTGTGAATTATTAAACGCTAATGAATATGAAAATGCTAAATCAAAACTGAGATATAAATATATTGGAAGTGATGAAAGGTGTAAAGATAAAGATAAAGTTTATACAGTTTCATATAATGAATGGAAAACCAATAAGATAAGAAAACATTTAGGAGATTATGGGAAATGTTCTGAATTCTTTAAATCTAGTATGTACGAGAGAGTAAAAGAAATCAGAAATAATTATTTTCATGAATAAAAGATTCACTACCATAATGAAATAAAAAATAAACTTTTAAAATTCATGTCTCAGAATCAACATTGAACTTTAAGAAATTAATGATTATTTGAATTTATGAAATCAATTATTTGATTCATTCTTTCTTCAATCTCTTCTATTCTTTTTGTTAAATCATCAATTTTCATTAATGAGGTGATTCTTGATTGAGGAATAGATTTCAAACTAACCACTCCTTTTATTTTTGAAATTTTGAATCCATCAACTTTAAACATTTTATTCAATTTACATGTTGTCAATTCTTCAAACAATTTTTTATTATTAGCATAATAGTCATTAAATTCTTCAACAGATGAAAAAATTTTTATTTCAGTAATTGGTTTAACAACATTTATTTTTGTTGAACATTTTCACTTTCATTTATTTTTCCCTCCCCTGTTTCATTTATTTTTAAAATTGGTTTCATTTATCATTAAATAAAAATTAGAATATAAGTGATGAAATATATTTTTAATTAATATTAAATCAGAAATGGGCGGCAGGATTCTTTAAAAATTATGGGATGGAATTAAGAAAGCTGCGGTTGGGTTTATAAAAAGATTATTAAACCCGTTGCAAACTTTTTGCACCAGTAGCGAAAACGGCAGGAACTATCATAGGTGGAGTATTAGGTACTAAAGCAGGTAATCCGGCGATGGGAGCACAAGCAGGTAACGCAATTGGTGGAATAGCTGAAGGAATACTTAATAAATAGGAGGTAGATAGTGGAAAAATAAATAAATATTATTTTTATCTTAGTATCGGTTGAAGTCTTTGATAAACTTTTTCTCCTTTATTTAATATTTCTCTTATTGGGGCAGCTTTTGGCGTTATTGATTCAGCAACGTCACTATTGCTTCTTTATTCTTAAATATCCAATTTGCTCCCTTCTTCAATGTTTCCCAAACTTTATGCGCTCTCTTTTACTTTATCCCAACAGTTCTTAAATATACCTGCAGCCATAGTTGATTATTTCATTAAAATTAAAAATTCATTTTCATCTTTTAATTTTGATTTTTATTTATTAATAAATGACGACTAACTATTTGGTGCCAAACACTAAACCGATTAATGGAAATGTGTTTCATTCATTCGAAAAGATAAATGAAATATTCGCAAAGAATGACGGTAGAAGATATTATAGAGAACTTGAAAGTTCATGCTATGACTCTGATGCTCCATATTTTGATGATAAACAAACTCATTTAAGAATTACAAATCCAGCTCATGATGTGAACCAATTAGGTGACACGTATATTAAACGCAAATTAAAGCAACTCTAGTTTCAAATAAAGCTTTCACATGTGATGCCGCTTTTAAATGCATGCGTTTATTCGTTGGTTACAAATCATCAAATCAAAGCTTTAAACAATTAGAAGTAGAAACTGAAAGAGGTGATGCCGGTTATCTTCAAATGGATTGCGCCCGTGAATCTTTCGCATTTGCAACATATAAACCAAAATCAGAAAGGAAAGTTAAAAAGTTTGTTCATTCGTTATATAATAATGTTCAAAAATATGATAACTCAGTATGTGGTAAATATATTGACCCTTCAGAAGTTTTCAAGAACGCAAATGAAGAAGTTGATAT